TTAATATCGTAATCCAACTTAAAAGAAAAAATAAATGCATTGCCAATTGCTCGAACCATCATAACCGTGCACCATAAATGATGCTCTTTTATATAAAACTTGTTCTTCCGGCACATCCGTCTCCATCCAAATCATTCCTGGCGGCCGCATTCGTGTGTTGCATGTCCTTTATTCAATCCATCCATCGTTTCTTAAGCATGCCACGAGGTCGTTTGCTCCCAGGGCATGGCTGATCATGCTATCGAAGATTCTGGTTACGCACATGTTCCTAACATCTAAGTCGTCCTTCACGCATTTTTGCCGCAATTGGCGAAATCTCAAAACGTTGACGGACGTCCTCATTTGTAGTATGGTCGAATCGAGGCACCATCACAGCGAGCATTCGTATTTCCATTCCATGTAAGGTTTGCTCGTGTTTTTCTGTCACTGTCCAGCACTTCCATCCGTAGATGGCGACCGATCAACCATACCACTGTCTCCATCTGTACACCTCTGACTTGAGACACAGTGGTATTCGACGGTCACACAGAACTCCAGTAACGTGGTCCCATTTCATCCATGTAGCATTAACCCGAGCACGAGCATCTGGAATGCTGTTTCCATTACTGCAAATGAGGGAACCGCGATATCTGAAACGCCTTCAGGTCTTCTCCACAGATACTGATGGTTGATCAATCTGCGCCCACATTTCAAGTACCCCGTCTTCTTGATGTCCGGTCGGAGCCCAAATTCACAAGCGGCCGGATGTCCGAGCGGTCAAGCTGGCAGCCTACCGCTCTGGGGAACCCGGAATCGAATCCAGACGGATAGAAAATCCCCAGGAATTTTTCGGGGGTGTGGTCCATCTGAATATGTCGGGCCTCGTCTCTCACCACCCGGCCGCCCCATTGTGGGCCTGGCCGAACCCATAATACACTTGCTAAAAGAGGCCCTCTTAGTGCCCACAGGGCAAAAAGAGTTTTTAAAAAAGTCCAAATTCACAAAGCCGTTTTTTCCTGCAGTTTATGATGCCTCTCATCCCCAGAAAGACATCATCAGCATAGAACAATGTCTAAGGTTGGGGTGCCTGGAAATCGGTTGTCACAATGTCCGTACATATGATGAAGAAAAGTTGTGAAAAAAACTGTTCCTTGATCTTCTCCAACATTGATGGCAAAGTAGAGATGATATTTCCAGTGCACAGACAACCACACTGGTGACGTGATAAAATAGTTGAATCCACTCTAAACATATATCTCTGGGACACTATGGGATCTCAGAGAATGCCAGATAAATTTGGGATGAGATCAAAGGTCTTTTTCATATCAAGAAACGCCTTGTGAACACGCTTGGCTTTCTCATGGTGCTTCTCCAAACGGGGCTGACGGCATGTATGGCATCCATTGTTTCAGTCCCTTTAACAAAACCACATAGATTCAGGGTGATTGTGGCAATGTTGCACAGCCTGACATCAATAACTCTTTCAAATATTTTCATGGCATAACACAGGAGTCGAATTGGTCGTAGTTCATGTATTCAGTTGCATCTCCCTTACCATTATAGATCGCACAGTGGTGCTGGTTGCCCAAGCTGGTGATGCATGCAATTCCTTCATTGATAATCCGTTTGAAATGGCCAGTGAAGATTGCAATCCCGATGGCCGAGGGCCTTCCATGCTTTCACCGGGGACAACATCAGGTCCAGTTGCCCTGCTATTTTTCATCTCCCTCACCCCCTTCTCAACCTCCTGAATGGTGATTACAGGAACGGAAACTGGGTCAGCACTTTGAATTTTAGGTGGTTAAATTCTTTATTAATGACTTTGAAAAAGTAGTTGCTCCAAAGATGAAGGATAGCGCTTGGATCTCGTAGGAGCTGATGATGTTCATCTTTCACATGCTTGACATGGTCAATGTTCTAGATGGTTTGATGTATACATTGGCCAAGCGGTTAATTTTTTCCTCCATAGACTTATCCAATTCTTTGTAGACATGGTCTTACATGGTTAATATGGTCAATTCTTTATAGACATGCAACTTTAGTTGCTGCAACTGTACGTTTGACTGCTAATTTTAGCACCCTGTAAAATTTAAGATTGGCATTTGCCTTTGTCTGGAACCACTGTTTCAGCGTTTTCTTCTTCTCCTTTATAGCTGTTTGTACTGTACTTCCTCATTCCACCACAACGTTTGCTTGTCAATGGTTCGTTTCCTTGGCGGTCTTTTCAAGGTTGGTAGTTGCCGCAGTGTGACCCTTCCAAACCAGATCATCCCAAATGGCTGATACTGGACTATCCATGGCCACATGTACAGGAATAAGGGCGTCCATGAGCTGGACTTTGCATTCCAGTAAGCGACACCATTTTATTCGCCCTGCTGTAGTGATTCGGAGTCGCTTTGGTAGTGTGAACACCGCTGGCATAAGCGATGAGGCGAGTTGATCTTTTCTTGAGAAACGTGTTGGCCATGACAAGTTCATGTACTTCGATGCAGTCCAAGATACGATTTCCATCATCGTTACGATTGCCGAAACCATTTCCTCCATGATACTGGTTGTATCCATCTCTCGATGATCCGACATGATCGTTGAGGTCACCTTCCAATATCAAGTGTTCTTCAGGGCTGACAGTTTGCAGGTAAGCATCCAGTCCCTCTCAGAATTTGTCCTTTTCGTCCGCAGGGCATTCTGTTTAGGGATTTAACATGTAACAACTTGGAGAATGGTTGCGCCAGATTCAATTTAGATGGCGCCATGAGTCGATGTGACATTCGGTGTATCTCGACTATGTAATTCCTATATTTCTCACAGATTACTATTCCCATGCCATTCTGAACACTGTTTTCACCATTGTAGTAAGGCTTGTATACTTTGCCAATCTCTCGTGCCTTCGCTCTCCCTCCATTTTGTTTCTTGGACACACGCAATATCAATGCGGTGAGTTTTCAGCATTCCGGCTTCGTCCAGTCATTGTGTCAATGTTGATGGTTGTGACTCGTAGGCCTTAGTGGACCTGCTTCTTTAACCTGCCTCGTCTAAGGGCGATTAGCCCATACATATTCTCGCATCGCTTGGACAAGAATGGCGCGCATCGCCTAGGGAAATTCCCTAGCATTATCTAAATTTCGAGAAGACGTCACTAATGGATGCGACCAATAATACTCCAGTCGGCACGTCGCTCCAAATGCCGTTGGATACCTTCATCGTTAACAAACTTCCCGAAGGTTGTTGTTTCCAGTGGGCATCACGAGGAGATGGTAATAGGATTTTACCTACCCCTCTCTTATACAAAGCTATCCAACAGTTTTTAGACGTATAGTACGTTCTGGTGTCTCCGGGAGATCGTGCCCAATCTTTTGGTACGCTTGTCTTTCTGAGTCCGTTGTTCAATAACACTGCATTTCTACTAACTCTTTGGAAAGTTTTCCGATAAGAATTCCACTTTCGAGCATTTAGGGACGAATCCTGACCAAAATTGTTGGGCATGCTGAAAGTTATAATAAGAATAATAGGCCTATCTCTATCACTAAACAATAGACAGAAACGTTATTTGGTGTGAATAAAAAAGTATGGACTATTATAAAGCCCATTATATCTACACATGAAATATATTATAACGAAAAAGTATTTAAAATTTATGATAATAATTCAACTTTTGTGGGCCCTTGACACTGGGGACACAAGGCTTAAACCCTATTAGTCCCTATGTTGATCCGCCCCTGTACACAATACATGTACGCTGACTGGGTACCGCAAGCTTTCGATACAATCTGGCCGTGTAAGATGCTTCGAATGACGTCACGCGCGCACTTGTTTGCTGCGAAAAACCTCCACACGAGCGAGCGATCGAGTTCCCGCAAGCATCGTACTGACTTAAAACGGCTAGCCGCTAGCTGCCAATGTAAAAGGAAACACAAATGATAAAAGAATTTATACATTGGAATAAATTATTATTGGCATTTTGTTCTCATATAAATAGTATATTTGCAATCTAAACTTTCTCTTAAGCACGCGGCGCAAAGCTAATGCCAAACAAGCCCAGAGAATTCGCCTCTGCGAACATTCTAATTATCCTATCCCTCTCAGTATTGGAGACATGTTAATAAGACCTTTTTTGTTTAATTATCTCCACTAAATCTATATACAACAGCTACGAGAACTTCCTCCCAACTGTAGCGCAGGGATAGCTTGAGAACTCGAGTTAGATCATTAGGGGTGCTAAATTAAAGCCAATTTTCACCGCATAAGGCAAGAATTTACTATTTAGTGAATTCTTGCCGTTGTTCTAAAACTGTTCGGAAAAGTAAAACTGTGCCGGTTTGGTTATCTCATCGAAACAATTGCGGAATCCAAACTGCCTACAGGTGACGATGGAAATTTTGTGTAATACATTCCTAAACGAAATGAAGAACTCAATACGTACTGTACAACCGATTTGTCGCTACAGCGACTAATACTACGTCGCGTGCTAATACTACTGTCAAGCGAGTGCCTCAGAGTATGCTATTGTATCTTACATCACAAAATACACTTCAGAAGGAGAACCAAGATTACAAGATTTAAAAAAGCACTTTGGTGACAATGAATAATACCGAGCCTGAAGATTAATTACAAAAGCAATTGCGAGAATTATCGTCCGGCCGCGAAGTAATGCGAATTCTCAATGCTGACGGGTTCTTCCATTCTTTCAATTTGTATAATTCTATGTTTCTACGAGTGAATACGTTCTAATCCGAGGTAGCAACGCCGTCGCCGAAGAAACTAAGCAAACGACAAAGCTTATTCGCAAGTACTTATTGGTGCAAGTGACAAACGGAAAAGCAGATGGGTATGACCCTACGAAAGACGGAAAATTCGTCTCCATCGCTTCGTCTATTCGAGAGTTTTACTTTCGAATTACGACAGTCCTTCGGTGTTACGCGCGTTATTTATAGACTGAGCTGAGACCGAAATCCGCCACTTTCTTTTACTGTCGCCGGTAGAAAAATTAGCCGGGCCCGAAATTGCGCTGGTTAAAAGCTTACCCTGCTTACAGCGATAGGAGGGAATCCGCTGGGTTGAGGACTCGTAGCTTGAACGTAGCCCACGCTGTCTTGACTGGAGCTGTACAGGTCTATGGGACCGGGACTGTTGGTTGCGGGGAAACCGCGGCTGTTGGCCGGGGACGTGGGTGCTGCGAATCCTTGAGGTCCGTAGTTATTGATTACTGTCGACGAAAAATAAAAGCATTCGTTACACTCCGTTCAAAAATGTCAAATGCCGTTTACCGATAATTCGCGACTTCCGACGGACACGAAAGACGTAAACAAAACAAAACACACATTAAAAGACGTATTCACCACGTCAATTATCGTCCTCTCGTAATCGCCGACGTAGCGATTCTTTTGTCGTTCGTTTTTACACCGATAAATTAGTATAATTAAGGAACGTTTTCCGTCGCGCCGGTCGGATTAGGCGCGTTCGGCCACGATAAAAGACGGGCGAAGTAAAACAGAAAGGGAAGGAACACTTACGAAGAGATAGAAAAAGGCCCGTCGAAGGTTCGAACCGGGACATTTCCACGCGCGCGCGTGGGCGTAGTTTAATTACCATTCAATGAAAGACCCGGTACCATTCAATGAAAGTCTCGGCGGGTGTAGATTCTACCCCCCGCCGCGCCTTTCCCGAACTGGGTTCGGATCATTTGTTATTTCTGTTTCTAGTCCAAGACGAAGAAATGGACTTATTGTTTTAACGAACCGCAGTTTTCGGCGTTTTGCAAATAAATCGGAAATAAACGGGCATTGGAGATTGGAATGAAAAGACGGAAAGAAGAAGAAAACGGTGCGAAACACGCAGTTGGATTAGGTAACGTAAGACGGAGTGCTTTCTACCTGAGAGAGCCTGGGTTAGTAGCGGTGGTGATGTCTGCTGTCCGTTTAGTTCCACTGGAAATAGAGACACGACATTAAGACGACACGATGCAAACTTCTTTGGCTGCGTAGCATGCAAGTGCCAATAACAAATAAACATTTAACAATTTCACAACAACATGTAACAAATAAATCGCCCGTTTTTACCGTTTAAAACGCGTAACCGTAATACCTATAAATAATATACGGTATATATAACGTAATCACACCCCAGGTATTATCTTTAATATTTTACTCAATGATATTTCCTGTATCCAACACCTTTTTTGTCCCCATGCATTTTTGAAACACTTCCTTAACAGGAAAATTAATCTAGGAAAAAAAGGGGTCTTCGGCAGTAAGAAACGACTTTTACCGAAAATATCCGTAAAAGTCGTTTTTAATAAGTAACGTAGTGTGTGTTATTTACGTTTTCTATCGTTTTCTATTATTCCAAAAATGTCTTATAAACGCTATTTATACAACGTAAAAGGACCGAAGTTGACGAGCGACGACGATCGCTATTAGGCCCTACATCGACCCCGAAACCATTTGACAATGAAAGGGATGACGACGAGCGGACGGAGGATTTTTTTTCATTAAAGCATCCGACATGTTTGAAACCAGACAAGAGTAATAATTGTAACAATTGTCTACAGACAGTAGTTAATTAAAATGATTATTATTTTCCTAAATATAAATATTTTTACACAAAAATGCACGGATCCGTTGGAATAATATCATTGAGAAATAAAAATTTTTGAAATAATCTTAATGTAAAATTAATATTAATATATATATATAATTATAAGATTATCATTTGAAAGGTTTAAATAATAAACGAATACTTGTATTTATAATGCAAATAAAAACGATTTTGTTGCAATTTCGGTACCGATCTGCGTGTTTTTATTTACATTATATTTTTCAGGATAAAAGAATTAATATATTTTACGTATAATAATAAATAAAGTGGAACTTAAAGAATAAATGCGGCGAGTTACCCGGGGGTGGACGGATATATTATAGGGAATTTTTGGCAAATTAAGGAACAAATGCCGCCGTCTCATCCGCAGGCAACTCGGCGCGTAATTAATTCGGACACATTGCATTTTGTATAGGAAGTGATACAAAATGCAACATTTCATTTAAGATTAAGCGTAAAAGTTACTGTTAATATCCAACTTACCTCTTATAATTTAAATACTGTTAAAGTTTATATATAAAATATGATTATAATTAAGTAACTAGTCCTACTCTATATAAAAGCAGCGTTTGATATAAATTCTACGAATAGAAACATACTGGATAGTTTAAGTTTAAAGTAAAATTTAGTGCAAAAACAGATAGTGATAGAAGATAAAAAGAAGCCTATTATAGAACTAGCGTGCTGGTGATTACAGTACTACTAAAATTTAACATATTTTTAAGTCATTAAAAAATGAACTTACGAAGGCAAACAAGTGGTTGAATACTGTTAACAATAGAGGCTCTATCTAGAGCATGATTCTCACCTTTTAATCAGAAGGCCAGATATAAGACATTATAAATTGCTATTGAGGAGGATGAAAAAGTCAGGCCCATTTGACAGTTAAATTTGTCCCTTACCTGTGTGATGGTGAGGATAGTGATCCCTCTTGACGGGAGGGTTAGTTAGAGGCACTGGGGAGGGCTCGCTACGAGTCACATTAGTAACGTGGCTAGCAATAGCAGCAGGAGGTGCTGGTGCTGCAGTGTAAGCGTCGGCATAGAAAGCGGTGGCCTGATGGTCGGCCGTAGTAGGAGAAGGGAAGTAGCTGTAGCCAGGAAAGCCTGAAGAAAGTGTGGGGAGTGGGGATTTATTGACTATTATTGATATTTCTAAATAACTACACTGCTATGACGTACATAAACACTTATGATATTTGTAGATTTGTTCACTGTCTTATCTGTCTAACGATCAACTTAATACCATGAAAAGTGCAAAAACATAAATGCAATAAAATAATATATCTTGTCTAAATACTTTATACTAAAAGAGCGGAATCATTTTCCACAGCAAATAATAAACTAATTAAAAAATTTGTAGCTAAACATAAGTAGCAAGTTAATTAAAAAAGAAATGTGATTGCAGGACAGTTGCCTCCCCACAACTTCTCAACTTTCCATGGCAATAAATGAGAGGATAGAAAGAAGCAGAATGAACAAAGACAACATGCACATAACAGAAAATCTTCGAATTAAAGATATTTTACTCACAGATGTTTGACATTCTTTCTTCTGGCCATCTGGTCATCATCATCTCCACAAATTATGTTAAGTAGTAAGGAGGACTGAGTGGAAATTAAGTATCAGATGCAAAATAAAATCAAAAATAAAGTGACAATACGGAAAAAAGAAACAAGCTGAAGCAGAATATTAATTTATCAATTATAAATCATGCAATAACATGCTACTGTTATAATAAATTCTCCTAACGGTGTGGTGATTAAAGACAGTTTAAAGATTAAAGTAATAAAAAACATCAACAATGTATAACTTTTTCTAAGTTAATAATTAAACATTTTAATTCTAAAATTCAAAATATTAGATTAAGAAACATTATCATCAATTATTTCTTACACATTGAAAGTTGAGATAAAAAAATTTGACTATTTCTAATACTATTCTAGTTACTATCGTATGTTTTTAATCATACAAGCACTAATAAAATCCTACGTATTTCTACAAACTATCAGGTATGTCACCAGGCACAGGTATAACTAAGCATAGCAGTTAGAATGGACAATCAGTTTTGTAAAAAATCTACGGTGGGAGGATTTGGCACCACTTCACACATTCATTCGGGTAATATCACTGCAAAACCGTAATTAGTGAGTAAGGATTCTATTATAACTGGTCACGTGTTTAAGTGACATGCTGTCAGGTTATAACTACAGTTAATAGGACGGAAGCTGTCACTAAAGGTGAAGATCTATTACAACAAGACAGTCACACACTTCTCACTCGTCGTCTATCTATTTCTACGTTAATAAATTTACAGAAACATTAAGATCTAATACTAGATTTTGTTAATTTTACTACGCACACCTAAAAGAGTAGAAGGCTTCTAACAATCATACATAACAACTACAAAATATATTACAAACAGAGAAAACTTTTAATATGTAATTAACTTATACACAACAAGTCTCGGGCGTAAAATAATAGGAAAACAGATTGGTAATAAAATACTTGGACCAATTTTCGTTTTATTCCAGAGAAAAATTTTAGAGATTGACATCTTTTTTGACTCACGTCACTTTTCTTGGTTATTTAGTGTAGTTGGACGACAATAAAGTTGATGGAAAGTTAGGCAAACCGTGGCCGTGGTCGATAGAAATGCCAGTGACTTTCTTCAAAGATCGAATCCGTTTGGAAATAATTCCGAAACGATCTTAATAATAGGAAAGACGAGCTGTGTCCTAGTCAAGTGTCTAAAGATGCGGCGCGATGCGGTAAAGTTTTCGTGTCATTGTGACCGAAACTGTTACAGTGACTGATAACATCCCGATCAATTTCTTTAAAAGTCATTTATTATAACTGTAAAACATATCCATCTTTGACCAATTTCTATGGTCAATAAAATTAAACTTACAGTATAAAAGTTTCTTTTGATGTGCAAACATATCAGAACATGCCAAATCACTCCACACTGCCGCCAGTATACAGTTTTCAATACCGATGAACTTACACGATTAATATCACATACAGAATGATGGGCAGATGGAATACGTCATCTCCCAATTGCGTATATCCAGGAAACTGCTATGCTTAATTTTACCATTTATGGCACTACGATTAACATCACTGATATTCTATACTTGATAAATATGTTTAATTTTAAATATATATATGATATGATCTGCATAGGAAATGTAGATGGTTTCTGGTGTCGGCTAGAACCGTATACTTCGTCGTTTATTGTACTGTAAGACACCCGCCGTTTTTTTTATAGCGTCACACTCCACAAATTAGAATGTAAAATTTGCGAAACGACTAGTCACTTTTTGCACGAAAGCAAAATAAGAAGAAAGAGCACATTTGCACACGTGCATACGGTACTGGTTTCATCACTGACCATTGGGAATGAAATCGACCATTCGATTTTTAAACCCTTATTATCAGTCTTACGTCAGTGGATGATTACTGTGTGTTGAGCATTAACTTCCTGAGATTGTATATAAATATAAAGATATTCTTTCGTCCGAAATGTTTCGTTTCACTCCGATATTGCCGACCTGACCGGAATAAGGCAGAAAATCCTGTCAGCGAAACCAAAACATCGCATCTTCCGACGTTCGAGTTTCCTCCGAAACGCCGTCGTACCGAAACGGCAAAGTTCCGATACCGTGGTCAATAGTCATCGGGCACTATGGTTGAATACCAGTGTACCTGACGTCATGCGACTGAACGAATGCGGTAGACGTTCTCAGATCTGCATGGCATGCAGGTTGTAGACATTCAAATGTTCCAAAGGATATGGAATGCAGATCTGTTGCATGTTAAAGTTCATACCTGCAAAAGGATAGCCAAAGCCTGGATAACCCGGATAGCCTCCTCTTCCGTATCCGTAGGCTGCGAATCCTGCTAAAGATATAGAAACAATTTTTACATACCTGGCGGCTCCAGTTAATCTATAACAAATCATTAATTAAACCGCTTTTAACCAACAAACGAAATCTTTCGTTTTCGTCCACGTATTTAATTCATTTTATTATCATTAAAGACAAATTCCAATAGATTACTTTTCATAATTAGAAACAATATCGTAAACAAACACGTACCATCCGTCAATGCTCCCAACGGCCAGACTAAATCTAAAGATAAAAATTTATATTAAAAATATAATAATATTTCGTACCAATTCGTCAGTTAATTAATTTAAAATAACCTATATAAAAGCATTCATTTTATGAAAAATTAATTAAGTTATTTGTTAAAAAAAGAAAATTATAATCACGTCGATATTCGTCTCCTATTAACTTTTGTGTGAGAAACTTAAAACTTGTCACCTTTATATACAACCTAAATAAATATTATATATAAATATGTTCATACAAGTAAAATTCCCGGCTTTACAAAGGAGTAATAAGGACAGACACGTAGGTTCTTAAGGATACGGTCTTCGTTAATTATTAAGCAACGTTTACTTATATAATAATGTATTAAACTTCAATTACGGTCAAAAAAGGTTAAGGGGAAGAAATGGGAGGGGCGGGTTATCCGATTTTCGCGTGAAAAGTTTGCTGCGGATGGGTCAAAGGGTCTAGAAGCGGGCAGGAAACGACTGTACTCGGATAGACAGAGAGCAATTTTTATTACGAACCGAAATTAAAACATCCGGAACGACGAAATGGGATAGAATGTGGGGAAAATGGTGTTTTAAGTAAGTTTCGACGGCAAATAATGGCGGAGGCATCGGATGCCTGGAAGGAAAAATCGTAAAGACCGTTACGTTACCGAAGTTTTGGAAAGAATTTTCTCAGACAATAAATTATGTAAGAAACACGAAAAAAAAAGGAAAGAACTAAACTACCAACCAAATAAACTTTAATAAACAAGTGAAGCGACTACCTGTCCTCCGCTAAATCGATTGATATAAAATTGCAATTCCACTTTTGTCATTATCTTTTGTTAGAGAATGCCATACAACAACTTCCTTTGGGTCAAATTTTATGGCACAATTCTTGTCAGATTCAATATCGTACTTCATACAATATGGATGACTTACACAGCTGTCCCGAACACTCGACGGTTCCACATTCAGACGCTTCTTTTTAATCCAATAGAAAATAGAGTAAAATTCGCAAATAAGCGGGCAATCCATCTATCCGTCCGGAGCACGTAAATCCATGCCCCTTCCGTAAAAGACCTCTTTGTTAACTCTTAAGGCCGGGACGTATTTTACAAAAGGCAAATAACAAAAAAAGCTCTGCGGTTCGACCGATAAATATTCTCCAATTCAAAATAAGGCGATAAATTAATAAAATATTTTAGCTCTCGATTTAATTACTCCTTTGACCCCGTCCCAACCAAATTCCGGAAAGAACTTACCGTACGTCCCCCTTCCCGCTCCTCTGCCACGTGCAACGTTGTTGGGCATCATCACCTCCTTGGGTTGGGCTTTCTTGCATTCCACCTGAAAGAGGCAAAGGCCTAATTATATTTAACGTCGGGGCCACGGTAAGGCCCGAGTCCTTCAACGTTTATCGTTAAAGCGCCCATTTACCGAGATTTAAAAAGTGGCCGAATTTATTCGTTACTTTTCGAGTTAATAGCAATTTCGGCTTTAATAATGGAGGCTCGGGGGGGGAAGGGCGAGCGCCCCTTTACCGATTTCCGCGAAAGGAGACAAATCGGCAAATTGTAAAAAAAACCAATAGTTTTTAATGGCGAGAAAAGAAACGACTTACCATTTTATTATTGATTTCGTGAAAGTGAATTTCGCAGACTTTGTCGACTACGTCTTCGTTTTCGAATGTGACGAACCCAAACCCTTTAAAATAATAACGCATATTTATAAAATGCAATACGTAATAAACCGTTTCTAATTACTAAGAAATCTCGCGTAATAAATTTAGTAATGTTTTTTTAAGAACAAAGCAACGTAAGTTGGGTGGAGGCTTCGGGCCACCTTCGAAACTTACCGCCGTCCAATCGACTTTTAAGTCTACGTTACAATTACCCAATATATAACTTTATTTACTTAAACATCTGGACCGTTGGCGGAGAAAAACTATCGATCCATTCCTCTCTGCCGGAAGTTCCCAACCCGTCGCTCGTGACACCGATGGGCGCGCGAGTATTCCGTCGTCAGTTTCCGGAAGACAAAGCGAAGGTGTTGGGTGACAGGTGGGAGACGAAGTTCCGGATCCGGAAGGATGGCGTAAGTCCAAGCGCGCGAGGTGAAAGGACGGAACACGCCCATCTCGTATTTCGGGTAAACTCGACCCCCTACTTTTACCGGGCGGAAGAGAAAAAGTGACCGAAAGGTAATTTGTCGGCGGTGACGAGAATAAATTCGTTGGTCTCTAACAAGGTAGACAAATCAAGTTTTGATTAGCCCGTCCCGCGTATCCGCCGGTTTCGGTCTTAATTAAGAAAATGCCATTTTCCTTTCCACTCGACGACGCCATTATCGTACGGTTAAAGTTGTAATTACACAGGGTGTAGTTTCAAATTCGACTTTCTCGTTGGACGGTGCGATGACGAGAAGAGAAATGAGGCATAACGCGGTTTCCATGGCGATGATAATGACGTTGCGCCCGAAGAATGTATTCGTCGTACCGTTACGGAAAAGAAATAAATTACTCTTTCTAATAAGGTGGGTTATATCTGGCCGCCGCCAACCCGCCGTCCGTCTATTAAAATCCGCACCGATATTAACAGATGCCATCCGAGTAATTACCGACTCGGACCTATAACTCCTCCCCCCGCATTATTAGCCTTTTACGCGGGATAAAGACGGAAAACTCCGCCGAGTCTCTTCCGCCGGCTTTTATCCAGGTTTTCGGCCCCGTGAGAGAGGAAAAAAGAAACCTCCGTTGACGGAGGGAGCCTCTACCGTCCCAAACAATGCCTTTAAAGAAAGTTGGGATTACGCTCGGCCATAGAAACACAAGAAAACGGCCCGGAAGTATTTGGTTTTGGCCAATAGGCGCGCACACGCGTACGCGCGCGCTCGTATCCTCCGCCGCGGATTATCTCGAGCTCCGGTTCCTCACGGCCAAACGAAATTAATTTCCTACCATTTAAGTACGTAAAATTAATTATTTTGCCACGGGAACGATCCGAAAGATTACGGTAATGATTAAATTAAAATTAATAAATTACAATAATAAATTATACGAAATTAAACCAATTATCAAATTATATTTTAATCAATTTTTAAAAGACGTAATTATGTAAATTTGTTGCCATCTCCACAAAATTAGATTTTAAAAAGAAAAACGTCTTAATCCTTTAAATAACTTCTCGGTTATTTACTGCCTTTAAAACCTCTCAAAATGCTTAAGAAATTTATATTTATTTTAAAAAAGAAATTGTTTAAAGAATTACAAGAATTGTATTCGGTTCTACGCGCTTTCTAAAGTAAATAAGGCTATTTCCGCCCATAATAATGGGAAACCCACGACGGATGAGGGCCACGTTTTAGGGGGGTGGCCGTATTTTTTCACACCAACCAAAGGTAGGCGCGTGGGGACGGGCCAGCTCTTACTTTTTGCCCTTTTTTACGGTCGGGAAGACGGGAGGGGAGGAGAAAGATAGAGAGAAAACACCGGATTGAGGGAAAACCGTAACCGGAGACAATCCCGGAAGTTTCCAATTGATAAGAATTACGCGTTCCGGAATCCGGAAGAAAGATTTCAAAAAGCACTTCCGCTGAAGAAAGGGCTTTTTCTACGGTTAAAATTACACCGGGAAAAGGCACAAATTTCGTAACGACCGCTGCGTGGGGTGGTCCGGGAACGGGGGAAGTAACCACCGACCGGTGTCCGAGGGAAAAAACTCGGACGTAATAATTTCCCTACTTTTTAAAGATTTTTTTTTTTGTCATTTCCCTAATCGTTTTTATGAAACGCCACGATATTTACGGGAAAACAAAGCCGAAGACGACGTCCGCGACAAACGGTTATTTTCCATCGTAAATAAAAGCGGGCGAGTAAATATCGGCGCGGCGCACGAACGTATGCACGTCGGGCGGTTAAGTGGACGAAAATATTAAAAAGGGTAGCGGCAATTAGGATAATGGAAGTAAAGCGGCTTTTATTTCCGCACGGAGTCGCCGTAACCGTCGGTAATCGTCGTTACGGTTTAATACGCTAATAATTCGTCGGTCGACCGATTTATCCGGACGACGATGGGTAAATAAAGGCAACCGGCGCGTTTCGGGCCCGGGACACAGCCGACGGCCCGTGCCATTTAATGGCCGCCGGCCGAATTTCCTCCCGTCTAAACTCGCCTCTCTCCCCGGTAAAGCGCCGTCTCTTGCGGAAAATTCCTTACCTGAGCCTGGAAAATGCCCGGAAAACGTCTGGGCCTTCTTCCGGACGACGAAAGGAAGAAAAGGACAAACAATGGACTCGGGTAAGGAGCCGGAGAGATTAACGGGCGTTGGAATGGGGGAAAGAAAGAAAGGAGCGTCCGAAAACGAAAATCGATGGGAAGAACAATCTCGAATTAACCGGGTGGTAATTAATGGAAACGGAAGCCCGACCCGGGGAAGAACGGCGGGAGGCTATCTGCCGAAGTAACGGCTAATTAGGGGAGAGGCACCAAAGCTCTTTCCACCCACTCTCGGGACGGAAAATACAGGCTGTCCAAGCCCGTCTTCCGGATATTCGCTCCGCATCTCTCTCGGCGGGCCTCCCCGATTCCGGACGGAATTTTCGGGGGAAGAAGATCCGGACTCGACTTTTGACCTCTTCGGATCCTATAATCACCACTTATAGGACGTTTCTGACTAAAAAGATAAAGTCCGAATCCAAGATCGGGTTATAAAGATAAAAATACATATACTACCACAGATCAAACGTTTTATTACTTGGCGTAGAACATCGTTTACGCCAACTTACGCGTTACGTAATATTCGGTAAAAATCCTACGACTTTATTTACGATCGGAACACAAACTTTATAAAAAAAAATACAGCCGTTTATCGACACGGGTGCCCGGATAATTTAAACACTAATAAAACATTCCCGCACTGACAAAAATCCCCACGCAGCTAATCGAGGTTAACAAATTTCTCGCAGTTTAATATATATGGACGGCATTTTCAAAACTACAACATTCTACTCGTAATTACCATACTCTGCCACTTTCAAATGCCGGAGGAAAAAAACCGAAGAAATCGTCTCGAGGGAAAAAGAAAAAAGTAAGCCTTAAAACGTACGAAAAAACGTAAGACCCGGCAATGCTGCCGGCCAAAGAACCTCCCGAACAGAGGAGAGCGAGAAATCCAAGAGGAATGGGGATTCAAATTGTCACCAATTTTAATGTACAGTACCTTAATAAATGTAATTAATATCATTTATAAAGTAAAAATGACTTATTTCTTACTTTTCCGTTATAACTTTTCTGTAAAAATATAAATTTTGTTTACTAAATTCTGCGCTCGACCGTAAGAGAATTGGGCGCATTTTTGGCCACATAAATTAATCGATGTCGCCTTTCCAAGGTTTCGGCTACCCGGTGGCTCCGCCACCGGCACAAGCCGAAATCGGCGTTTGGACGTCCGTCGATCGACACCCGGGACGGGTAAATCGGGTTCTTCAATCCCCAGGGAGAACTGGCGCGGGAAGATCAGGGCGCGGAACCACAGGCAAAAAGTAAAAGTATCGAGGAGAGGGAATAGAAGCCGGGTTGGGAAAGAAAGCGGAAAAGAGGGCGGCCGGGGATTTCTTTCCGACCGGGCTAAACCGCACCCGATCGAAAGGTCCCAGAAGGGGGAAGCGGGAAGAGGATAGGAATAGACATAAAATACGACCGGTGTCGAATATTGCGGCGGTGGAAGGCGCTCTAACCGGATTCCGCGGGTCGGAGGAGGGAGGAAGTACGGCGCGGCCGGAAAATGTCCGAGCTTTCCGACATCTGTTACACGGTAGATTGCACGCGGCCGGGATTATTGAAAACCCCGGGAGTATCTATATCGCCGCCTCCGCTCCGGTCCGCCCGGCTATCGATTCGGACTCGGGGACGTCGCGCAGACTCCGGCCGCTCTTCCCCTCTTTTCGGCCAAAACCGGCACCTTTCCGCCGGCGGGTCTCTCCTTCTCGGAAAGATTAACCCACCTCCCCTCGTCCCGTCTACGGCTGGGGACCCGACACCGGCTTCTTCCGCGGAAAGGCTCTTCCCTTTCTCGATTTCGTCGGACGAAACGACAAATTTCCGGACGTATCCCCGAAAGTACGGAGACCAACTCCTACCCCGGATTCGAAGGGAAAGAAGGGCGGTCGGGTCCCTTCGAGTCCCGGTTGGAGAACGTAGGAGGATGAATATCGAAGACGTTACAGGATCCCGTCCAAAACCACGCGCGACCACTCCGGATTTTCCGCCGGCAATTAGGGGCGGAAAGGCCCGGGACGAAAGACGGTAAGTGGCGAAGGGCCAGTCCGAAATCCGAATAGACCCGTCGAATCCGACGAAAAGAACCCACTTTCCTTCCGGGAGGACTTTCCCCGGCAGTGGGGAAAAATCGACCAACTCTCCCGGAAGACCGGCGCCGTCGGTCTTCCGGGAGAACAGGCCGCTCCCCCGCCCGGTGCTTCCGATACCCCTCCCGATGACGGGCCAATTTATCCGCGGGGGTGACCGAACGAATATCTCGGGTACGGACGAAATCCCAGTAAAGTAAAACGCCGAACTTTCGCCCGCCTTCCGCAAAGAAGTGTCGTCACCGTAATTAATTGCGTTTCTATCCGCGGAGGAGAATTGCGGCTTTCGCGCGGGATAAATACTTAATTTGCTTAATTGTCGATCCCGTCTCAGCCACGGGGAAGAAACTAGGGATTTTTCCCGGCCGAAACGGTTTCCGTAGATCAACGTTATTTTTGCTACCGGAAAAGAACGCTTTTAAGAGCATTTTTCTCCGCCAGGAAAAGTTCCACGCGTTTTCTTTTCTTCGAAAAATAGCCAAGTCTCCCGCCCTACCCCCATCGGTCTCCGGGTGGCGATAAACGTTCCTTTCCACTTCTCGCCCAGCCCAATTATTAAACTAGCGGACGAAAGAAATGACGTCGTCCGGGAATTTTTCCAACGCTCTGGTACTCCCGTACTTCCCACCGAGAGACGGGCCGTTTAACCGTAACTCCGGCCCTCCACCTCCTCGAAAGTAACGAAAGGGACGGAACGTAAAATACTTCTTTCCCCTTTCGGAGAATTTACCCACGAGAGGAAGAGGAACGGAAGAGCGGAGTCCGGGCGGGCGCCGAGAGACGTAGTGGACGGAGGCCGGATTAAAAGAGAGGAGGAAAACCTCCCTCCCCGCGCCACTCCGCGCCGCGGATGCCCCTAATTAAGGAAATTCCCACGGCTCGACCCCGACGTCCGCCCGCCGACGGGAAGAGCGGGGCCGACTCCCCGACCTTTCCGCTTTACGAAAAAGAATAGAGTGTGAGGCCCCCCGGACCAAAAATTCGGCCGAAGAAATTCATTTCGTTCCCGCTCCGACGGAGGCAACCGGTGGCCGGGGAGGCTCTTCGATTCGGCATGTGGGAAAAAGGCCGGGCCTCCCGCGTGGCCGCCCGTTCCTTGGGTTACGCCCGCGGCGGCGGGCGAGAAAATTAAGGAGAAAAGGAGGCCGCGCCCGACTTCGAATAACGAGTAACGTCGATGCTCCCTCTGGTCCACGTGGCCGATACCAGTCCGTTCTGGGTCGGAGGGTGTCGAAGTGAGACAGAGATTCGGCCGGGCGGAGGCCTGCTATTTCGCGCCAGAGAGGAGGGGAAGGGGGAACCCCGGGAAAAAAGAACGGTCGACCCCGCAAAGACCCCGGGGTTAGATCGGCGGCACGTTTCTTCGGTCGAAAGGGCAATGACGTACGGACTCGACTTGGTTTTCGGAAGGTGCGCGGCATGGGTTAAGGGAGGCGTGAGTTTGGCTGTTGGCACGGACGGGCGATCGACGGTAAAACCGCCAAACACAACGCCGGGGAAAAGTCTGAAATGGGAGTCCGACTTCCGGCGGAAAGGGGAAAAGGTCGCCAATTCCCGCATTTGGATCCGGAAGAAGAAACGGAGCGGCGGGCGGGACGGGGTAATTCGGAATTAAAATCGGAGATTAACAAAGGGAATCTTGATAATTGGGGACAAGGGGGAAGAGCGGTAAGGAATTTTGCCCCCGATTTAACCCAGAAATAAATTGGTACGGAGAGTTTTATTTATCGACGGATCGATGGACGGCCGTGGTAGAAGAGCGTCCGCTTCTAGACACGTAACGGATTCTTTCCGCTTCCGCTTCCGTCAAATTTAATTGATAAAACTCCGAGAATTTCGACTACTCCGACGGGCGGGAAGTGGCCGTCGGATAAACGAGTTCCAAGACGGAATAGACGCATATTTATTAGCGTTGCAACGAATATTATATTCGGCCCCAGGCCGAATACCGAATATTCGGCTAAACTATTCGGCTCGATTAACGCACGTACAAAAATTGGCGCGCAAACCGCATTATGGCGAGGACCCCGCTCTGTAGTGGCCCGCTGTCACTACGCTTCGCCAATCGCTACAGTTCAGACAAGAGCTACGAGTCACGTAATTGTAAAATGGGAAATCTACGACGGAAAAGTGACGAATCGAAAGTATCGTGAGGGCGTATTATGATGTATGCGTAGGCATACGTGGACTAGAGCGATAGAGGAAAGAGAAAGGGAAGAGCGAAGACGAGCGCTTAAAAGGAAGGATAGGCAGAGTCGGTCCCTCGGATGTGCGAGGATTTTCGAACGAATAGCTGTGTACTGTACAATACGTGTGCCGATCTTTGTAATTATAAATTATGAATACAAGGCCCGACGAGAAAATCGAGCGAAAGTCCACCCGATAGCAGGAAAAGAGGGCGTGAATGCGAGTAAAACGATTACCCGTCCGTAAATTTCCAAAATGGCAATTTTTTTCCAGTTACGTGTTCGGGGTAAGGGACCACTGAGGGGGCGAAAGCGCAGGCGAGCTGGCTCGTCCCCGCTTAAGACGAGGAAACGGGAATAAATAGCCGAAACGTCCCCTCTTTCGGCGTATTTTAAAAAACCCGCGTTAAAAAGGAGCGGTTTCGTGAGATAAGCGAAATTTTTGGTGCTGGAAGGATCCGGGAGAGAAGTGGAAAAGGGGAAAATTGGCTTTGTTCGTTACTAACGACGATAATAATAAAAAAAAAAATTAATTCGAGGGGAGAAGAGGCGAGAGAAGTTAGCGTGGAAAGAATCGATTGTTACGAAAGAGAGAAAAAAGAAGAAGGCCGGATATTGCAGTTTGTTCCGAGAACGGCACCTGTTTACAGAAGTCGGTGGGGAAACAGACGGAAAGAACTTATATCCGACCGATCGAAGAATAAAAGAATGGCCGCCGTCTTCTTTCTCCGGGTCCTCCTCTTCTCCCAAGTCGACTACGCGCGCGCTGCAAGGACTTACCTCCCAAAACCCGGCAATAGGTAACGACCTCGGGCGCGGAGATCGATCCGCCCACCGAGGATATTAAGCGGCGCCCGTTTCCGTCCGGCAAAAGACACGGACGGTCCCGACGATTTGTCCTCCTCCCGTCGCCTCTCACGGACAATGTCCAGTTCGGCCGAAGGTAAACCCGGCAACTGCGGAATTCCGGGTTTTCCCCTAAAGCGGGGTAAAGTTTAAAAAAAGGAAGAAACTGGGTTAAAGTTAAGTCTGGTTAAACCCGTTTTCCGGAAAAACTAAAGTCCCTTTCCCTTATTTTCCCTTCCGGTTGAGAAATAATCCAATCCTTTTCTAACTTACTCAAATGTGGGTAAACCAGTTTTAACAAAACAACGCGGTTACCTTTACTACGGCCGTTCTAACGTAAAATTGATTAACCCCGTATAGGCTTTACTTACGAGGTTCGTCCCACTCCCTAAGAAACGTTATTTGACGTTGGAAACCGCAAAAAAAAAAATTACGTAGAATTCGTTAGAGAATTAAGGTGTTCCTCCCCGGTTATTTACTATGTACCGTCGAAATTATATCATAATAAGTGGGTTCGAGCACGGTGGACTCCGTCGCTCCTCACCGGGGGTAAACGTGGGTTAAGTAAACTCATCGGCGGAAGGAAATTAGATGGGATTCGTAGGAAAGGTTAGACGGGGTCGGCGCAATATTTAGGAAAAGCCCTGGAAATGACGGGAGGTAATTGCTCCTTAGAAATTCTAAAGAACTAAAAAAGATTCGGTCCGGGAACGGGTAATTGTCCGGAAGGATTTTCGTAAGTGCCCGAAACGTCTTCCGCTTCCTCCCGATAAAGAATATTCGTTTCGGATAAAACCGCCGTCGCGGTAATCCGGAAAAGTTTGGCCGAGGACTCGACTAATTCTCTGCCTCTTTAAAGATGGCGACGGGCGGAGGGGAGAAGAAGGTCGCCTTCGACGTCGATATCGATTGGACCATCGATCACCCCGGCCGTCTCCCGCCTTCCTTCGTAAACCGGAGCCGCCGAGTGGCGCGGGGGAGGAAGAAAACCGCCGGACCCGACGGGCCGGGTGGTCCGTTTTTCGGCCGCCGGCGGGTGGACCCTTAACCGCGAGGCCCGACCCTCCCTGGAAACAGAAGCGCCGGGTCGCCCATCGGCGGTCTCCGGTCTATCCGCCCGCGCGCAAAACGTAATTTACGCGCTTACGTAAGGAGAACGAGAAGAGGAGGTAAAATTCCATCTTGGCCGCGACGTTAACTTCCCTCCGGGTTAAGCCAAACGGGAGGATTCTACGTACTCCGCCCGTTTGGCTTAACCCGGTGGGACCTCTTTCGGATTCGTCGGAATAAAAAATTATCTCCGGACGTGGACGTAATCGATTGCCTCTCCGTAATAATTTAACGGAAGGAGTTTCCACCACTCGGCCAGAAGAACCGTCCCCTCTCTTCCGGAAAGAGAAAGCCAAACGGACCGAACCGGATAAGAATTTACGCACCGGGACAAAGAAGGACGAATTTAGGCATTTCCACAATTTCTCCCCTCGATTACGTCTGTTTCTACAAGAACGTACTTTATTTACGTCGATTTTACGTCCCATATTTACGTCCGCACTCCGGAAATAATTTTTCCTCGGTCTTTCCCCAGAAAGTCTTCTGTTTAGCGCGAGAAAAGGAAAAGGTTTCGCTCTCACCTCTATGCCTGTTCGTCTGCTTGTCGAACATCAACATGGCGTCTTCTATCTGAAAACGAAAAAAACAAAAGTTGAAATCGACCCGCGTTAAACGTCAAAGTTATTCGTGAGTAAATCACGGAAGACGTACAAGCGCGTGCATTCGTTACGTTTTCTCCCGCGTGTCTCTCCGTCCCGTCCCTATTCGCGACCCGCCGAGTTACGTTCGTTTGCCGGATAGCGCGAGCGATCTGACAATACAATACAAAGTAGACAGAACGAGTAGCGGAGAAAAGAACCTCTCGTTTAACCGCTTTCCTTCGTATGAGAATTGAAACCTCCGTGAAATTTACAAAGTGTATTTATAGCTTTTACGCTATTACTAATAGAACTCCAACGGGGTGGGTGCCGACATCCGGGGAATGGGGAATAAGTAGTCGACATTTTCTTCCGGAGATGAGGTACATACGTCGATCCACCTGGTTTATTAAAGCATCGAGTAGTTTAGGGGAGCCGAAAGCGCCGAAAAAGGGTTAAGTGGACGGGGGACGAAACCGTCCTTCGGCCGGAGCCCCGGAGAGCCGAAAGTACGGTGACCGTTTCGGGCCCCTCTTTAGGAGGTCCTACTCTGCCGGGTAAGGATATGAATATAGAAAACCGGGCACTATAGATATTAGCGGACGAAGTCGGTGGGCTATTTGGAAAATAACCGGAAAATAGACCAATTTAAAAAACTTTTACCCTCCGAATGGCGCCCCCGTAGTAGCGCCCGCCGGAGAGGATAAACGAGTCACCTCCGTCGAACTGTATATTGATAGCTTCTGCGGTCGTCTTCCGAGAACCGGAACCGGAAGTCTGGGAAGAAACCTGAGGGCGCGGGACGGTCCCCCGTCTTCCGCCTAGGAGAAGAACCGCGCGGGCGGCGGAACAAATCGGTCGGGTGTCCGTCCCTTTCCCAAGGGCCGATAACGGGACCCTCTTTCCGGGGAAGGCCCACCGGTTAGAAAGTGGCGGGCCACCGGGGAAAGTAAATATTTACCGGCGAAGCGCGAGAGGCGCCGGTCCCCCGAAAAGTGTATTAAACGTAACGAAGTAATATCGATCCGTCGGCCAAAGCCGAGTAATAAAGAGCAAAACCGGAAGCGTTAAACAGAAATCGACCCGGGCGCTAATTGGTCCGATCCGTAATGTTTACCGCCCCCTTTCGTCGCGGCCGAAAAAATTAATCTCGTCCCTTCTTACGTTTCTTCTCCGCCGGAATACACACAAACACGCGCGCGCGCTCGACGCGATTCCGAGAAGGCCGATCGATAGAGCGATTCTCGCCCGCGCAAAGAAGCGCGAGATCGATTAACGGCCGTCGGCGGAATCGCTCTCACCCATAAATTATCGCCATTGGCTAAACGTTCGCCCAACGTAAAATTTTACGTCCGGCGCTGGCCAGGACACACTTTCGTGACTTTGACAAATTTGCCGTCACACGCGCCCGATTAGCGCGCGGGAGGGCTTCCGAGCAACCCGGACCGAACCATCGTCAATAAACCATCTTAGCCAGAGAAACGGATGGGAACGGCGGGCTTCCGTCCTTTTATCCTCGTCGTCGTTAAGGAAGGGTACCTCGGGTATACCGGAAGTGGAAGGACCCGGAAGGAAAAAGGCGAAAGAACGGTCGGAAGGTGTGGTAATCATTACTCCCAAGGCCGTAAGCCCGACCCGCGGTCCGGGGTTGGAAGTCAAAGAAGGGTCGACCTCGGTCCTTCGTCACCGTCTCCCCTTCCCCGAGTAGCCTCTCCTTCCGCCTTACTCCACGCGCCGACGTAACCGGGTGACGTCGGGCACGGGCAGGAAATAGTCGTAGGGATTAGGGTCTTTCCGGCCGACGGAGCCCAATACTAAGAAAGCCCTTTTACCCGGTTGACTGGTGGTCGTAACCCCGTCCAGAAGATTTGCTTGGAGGAGGGAAAAACCCAGTTAAAATGGACGAAACGGGGGAAAAACCGGTGGGATGCCTTAGGATTGGCCGGTAAATGGCTGGTGTGGGTTTACGGAAAGAAAGGTGTAAGAATAGACAACGCATTTAATAATAAATCGGTACTTTTACGGTTAGTCGCTAAATTAGCCGATTTTCTGGCCACCAGCGCCGTTTAAAAAAAGCTACCGACGTGGAAAATAAAGTAATTTCTGTTTTTATTTGGAAGACGGCGATCGACTCCCCACAACAATATTACAATTTTCAAAATAACTTTTAATACGAAATTAATTATAGGCCGGGTGGTAAGAACAGTTTCTCCGTAACGGGATGGGATCTTCAGGGGTATTTGCGGACAATTACTAAAAACGGAACGACGGCGGAGGTAATACGGAAGAAAGTGTAACCGCCGGCATTAAAAGTATAAGTCTACGGCCACGGAAATTCGTTTCGTCCGCCGTATTTTTGTTCGGTAAGTTTATCAAAAAAGAGGTTTTTGTATTTCTACAGCGGGGGAAGAAGTTTAAAGGTTAAACGAAATAGCGCGCGCGGTTTAATTCGAATTTCGGACACCTTCCGGGATATTTCTCGTGTTAATCCACGCCACCCATCGTCCCGGCCGGCGCCATTTTTCGCCGTTTATATTTACGACCGGCAGATGGCGCGCGTTTCGACCGTAATTTCCGTATTCCGGTACACGCCGAAAGGTAAGAAAAGGTAATGGCGGTATTCCACCGGCCGTTTCCTCCCCCCCCCCGCCGGTACCTCGGCGCTAATTACGGAAAGTTCCCGCGGCCGGGAGTGTTGGGCGGTATTTTTATCCCGGTCGGACGTTTCGGCCCGTCGGCCTCCGAAACGGTATTGCGCCCCGGGGTCGGAATGACCGGGACATCGACGTTCGAAATTTTTTTCCGACCACGCCTGGTCAGTTACGCGTGTCTTTTCTACACTCCGCCGAGTTTAAAAGCGCCGTTTTTTTTTTTTAAATCCCGCCAATTTTTATTCTTTCTTTCTCCGCCGGTCGACCACCCCGCCCGACCGAGGCTCGGTCTCCGGCCGACGGCGCGAATTCTCCAAGTTTTCTTCCCACCTCTAACACCTAAAAGGGCCCGGTTTCCGGCACGAAGTCTTCCGGGAGTCGAGGGTTAGGCGGATGGACAGATTGGAAGTGGAAAAGAGATTTTCGCATCCTTTCCGTCCGTCACCTTAAAATCGCCAAGGTAATCCCCGGGTGTAGCGGGGGAAAGGAGGGGCCGGACCGAATACCAGTTCCGCCGATATTCTTCCGTTCGTCCGTCCTATTCGAAAGCGGAAGTTATTCCTTCCGATAAAGAAATGGTAAAGGTTGAGAAAGAAAGGGCTTGGCCGATTTAAAGCTGGGTTTGCGCGGTCCACCCACGAAACCAACGCTAATCCGAACACGGGAATTAGTACCAAAAGTCGATATATTCCGCACTCCCAACGAATTGCCGAACGATTGCCGAAAGGACACTTCCCATCCGCTCCGTGTGTTAAAGTCTACGCGGTAGATGGGACGAAAACCAAGATGGCCGACAATCTTCCATTCCCCTGCCGAAGATCTTTATTTAGATTTATTAAACCCAGTCTACGCTAATCCCCGGGAATATTTTTAGAAAGACGGGATCCTAGAACGACGTTTAAACATTTGAAATTTGGAGAATGGATTTTCAAAGCTGGAAATTAGGGCCACGACGGGTTCCAGCCATCCATAGTTTTCGTCGCTGGTGGGAAAGGCGACATCGATTTAAGATTTTTCGGCTAAACGGCCGAAAGTCACTCCATCGGTCAAAGTATCTCGTGCGACGAACGTACCGTATCTTCTTTACATTAGTAACCGGGTTAAGTCGACGGCCGGGAGGTCGAGCGGTCAAGGACACGGCCCACCGCTCCGGGGTTGCCCGGATCCGTTCCGGCGGGCGGAAAAATTTCGGCGATTTTTCGGGGAGTGGTCCGTAGGGGTAAGTGGGGCACGGCCTTAAAAGGCCCACTTAGTGCCCGAAGAGTTTACAAAAAGCCAGTGAGATTGGCGGCGGATAATTACGGGCGGTTTTAATACGGTAACCGGCCGGCCTTTATACTTAGACCATAAATTGCCTACGTTTGTGGGCAATGGCGTAGAAGTAAGGCCAAGTTTTCGCCCGAACACCTTAACTTTTACCGGTTGGCCTTTCGGCCATGGGTTTTGGCCACTTTCCCCTTTTCCACAAGAACTTCCTCCGGCTAGGAAACCCTACTGACGAACAAAGGACGACGAACCACCCAACGACGTAGAAGCGGGCGGGTCCATAATTTTTACGTTCCGCAATAGAGCGTCGTCGGTCTAGATCGAAATGTCGGCGTGGCGGAGGGAGACGAAAGGCTTTCGTCGCGGTTAACGGGAAAGACGAAGAAAGAGCGTCCGGCCCTACTCTTAAGGCTAGAAAGGCTAGAATAAGACCCCCCGCTTCGCCGTCTTTATCCTATCGGCCATTTTATTCGCTTCCATACCCAGCTCGGACCGTAGATTTCGGCCAATAGGAACCCAGACCGGTTTCGGTCGAACTGGACGAATGCCGGCCGAGAAGACCGGGGTTCTATCGTCGTCACAGTCGTAACTCTCTTTTCTCCGCCTGTCAGCCACACAGGAAGACCAGGTTCGAACCCGGGCCGGAGAGGGAGAAGACCTCCCCGTCCGGACGGAAAACCGCGGCGGAATCCCTCCGCCGCGGTGGCTAAACGCCGGCCAAACCATAGGTTTCCGGTTCGACCGGTTTACGCCTCCCCCGCCGGAAGTGTACGCGGTTCTGCAGCGGCCTCACCGCGCTCCAATTGGCCGCCGCCGTCTATCCCCGGGGCGGAATCCCGGGCGGTCGAGTAATAAACGGCCAAATGTACCGTTGGAAGCAAATTTCCCGCTCCCGGGACGGTCCCGGAGTTTTATAAATTCCGCGGAGGAAAAGCGCACGTTTCCACCCCCGAGTCCGTCCGGGAAGAATGGCCGTCGTCGGCCGGAGAGATTCGATCGGGACGAAAGACGACCCCCGTGGGGAGGAAAGAGGCGGAGAGTCGGTGAGGGGGAGGCGCGCCGAAATTCGGCGCGG